CGTACAAGTTTATGTACATCCAATTTTTTACTATAGATGATGCATGAACTTTGGCACATTTATATGTTTATTCTGTAATGCTAATGTTGATCCATACGCGTCCTCTTTCGCTTTCTACGTGGTATCGATTCTAACACTCTTAATCGGGTTTATAATAATCATGGATTTGGATATCGTACATTAATATCAAGCTTAGATTAAGCATAACATCAAAACTCCATTAACACTAATATAATGGTTTAGGCAAGCATCTGTTGATTGTAGGTACCCCAAATTCTATGTGTCAAATGAGAAGGTTAGGGAATGTATTAATTTAATGTGTATGGAAAAAAAATATTATTCCTCTGACCACTAATGAAGTTATGAAGGGCCCTAAATAATCTTTAGATGTCTCCTACAAGTTATACACTGATAAAAATAACAATAATTCATCAGCTAATGAAATACCTGCAATATTATTCCAGTTTGAAGAATTTTTCTTTTGGATACAACATGCTCTAGGTAGGCTTAAAAGCCAAATAGATTTTTAATGAATGTATTAAATTTTACAGAAGAAAAAAAAAACATTAAACTATGTGTTCAGAAATGATTCATAAGTAAGCACCTGATGCTTAGGTCTAGGTTTGATGTTAACTGTCTAGATATGAAAATCAATTACTGATTGTTTTAGATTTCGGGCAAAGGAAATACATCGATTCATTATTCGTTGTTATATACACTCGGATGGTTCGTTGTCAGTTACTGCACTTCTTGCTTCAGTATCTGATTTTAGTTAAATGCAGATGAATTTCTGAATTCAGTAACTTGTGTTGTGTTGCTTATTAGCATTAAAAATATCAAATTTAGAAAGTAATGATATAGCGCAACAGAGCTTAGAATCTCAAGGACATCATGGCTGATTTGTTTAATCCATTGAATATCCTGACAACAATAACCAATGCCAATCTTCATGTCAAATCCGGGGATTAGGGGAGGCAAATGAATGATGAATGATATTTAATCCTGCAATCAACCAAAGATCATATAGAAAATTAGAGAAAATTGTATATTATAAAGTTTTTATGATTATTTGGCTAATATGCTAGTAAGCACTATGGGTGGTGAAATAGTCAGGGAACCCCAAAATAGAAGGGACATAAGTTAGAACCCCTGTTTTCTTATTTTGTTGCTGCAGTGATACAGTACAGATCCTAGCTTGGTTGTCTCAGAAGCAAACAATATTAGAATAATTGAAATTGAAATCAATGGTGATTAATTAAGTGGTGATTAGTTAATTAATTAAGTTTTACAGGTAGATTATCACTTAATACAGGAATAGTGGGGACCACCATTACAAACCCTAATGCCAAGAAGCAATGATATTGGTTTAGAGCTCAGATAAGTAGGATCAACAAATTATTAAAAACAATCTGTTGCCTTTAATATTGACACTCCCTGTGTTTGAGTGCCCATGAAGAAGCATATGACCTTATCATCACTTAACTTTTAGTATATGATTTGGCTACCATGTAGACTCCCTATTTCTTTGTTGGATGCTTCTGCTACATTTTTAATTTCCTCATTATACCTAATTTTATAGACTACGTGTGCCGTTACGTAGTCATCAACGTTTCATCATGATCGTCTTCCTCATCCTCATCACTATGTTATCATTACCACCATCTCGGTTTGTTAAAATATTTGAAGAAAATCTTTTAAAAAGATCACGAGAAGAAAACTGTTAAATATCTACTGTAACTGTTAGTCATCTAATAATCGCTAAATGACAATTGTTCCCCTTTTCCTCGCTAGATAATTATTGTTAGGTGGCTAACAATTAGCTAGATAGCCTTACTTAAAAAGTGAACCAAACTAGGGGCGCACACCCAGATTGATTCACATCTGTAGTATTTAGTACCTAACATGTTAAAGCAAACTTAACTCCTTATTCATATTTTTCAGGGGTCCCAAAGAAAGTAGACTGGCTTTTCGGCGCTAGGGAGTTTTAAAACCATTAAAGGACTTTCATGGGAAACCTTATATTCTTGCTACCAAAAGATGGTCCATACTAGTAAGTGTATTCTATTCTTGGTTCTCATGATCTAGATGGAATTCACATGGTATTACATGCTCAATTATGCATCCATCTCTTCATTTTTAAACCAAGTGCTGCTAATGATGGAGGTTAATGATCACTATTATAATACCAGATTATGAGATGATGCAGATTTTGGCAATCCCATTATCTGCACAAACCCCAATTAACATTTCTTTTTTGGAGGCATCTACTCTATATCCTAAATTTTAATGTCTTCAGGACCACTAAGCAAACAACTAATTACTCGACGCACTTTTCTAATCTCCATGTATTAGTATCTAATCTCCCAGATTATAGAAAGATATTACTTTGGCTGGCTGGCATAAGCAGGTTTTGATGTTGGCAATTACATGAAATACTGTACTTTTTCCAAGACTAATCAATTTTGTTATGATTTATACATGAGCCTCTTCGGCGATGCAGGTTCAGAAGCTCGATTTCGTCAGAGAAATCAGATAACTGATACTTGTTCTCCTAGGCATTATTTACATCAGTAGTTTTCAAAAGATTAGCTAGGAATAAGTTTTTTTGGACAGGTACAGTATCAGGTTCACTAATTCAAGGTAGTTCAGGACCATTCAAACATACATATGGTTGAAAAGAATCAAAGAAAAATTCAACTTCTCAGCGCAATTACATCACCACGTGTTTTATGTTTCTGCAGATCATGTTTGTACTCTTCTTTGTGATGCAATCTAATCTATGGCCAGCTCACCTTCAAAATATCTATCCATGACTCAAAATAAAGTTCTGTAAATTCCATACGACCCATAAGTCGGTGATAATGAACAAATCTAAAAATAATTATGTACGATAAGGTTTAGGTTAGTGTTCATGATAATGCAACAACATTCCCAAAAAACGCAATTTTTATTATTATTCAGTTACCTTAATGCAATCTTAAAAACGTGTTTGGTATGAAGATTTTTAGGGCTGGAAATGAAATTACTTTAGCAAAGGATTACTGATTCCACCCAAAGCACATAATGTTACCCTTCTCAATTTCCCTCCCCCCTCTCTTATTTGAATCTATTCTATTGTAATGGAGTACTAAATAATCAATAGAAAAATTTGGTTCTTAATATCATTTCCCTCTCTCATTCCCAAATGCAAGTGGAAGTAAAAATCTAAAAAAAAATATAGGAATAATTAGGGATGAATAGACATTATCATGGACATTGACAGGAGATGTTTCTTATAAAATCACATATCTAAATAATACATTGACCGTAGAAGTTCTTTTCAAAAACACATAATTAAGTAAAACGTAATTACCATGGACATTAACATAAGATGTTCCGTACATATCATTTATTTAAGTAATTTCCATGGACATTGATAAGAGACATTTCGTACAAAATTACATATCTAAGCAATTTCATCAACAAGTACCGCCTATGACATAGATGGCTGTATACATCCTATATCACTTCTTTGGCGGGGGAACCCAAAGAAGTGAGTTCCACCTCAATTTTGTCATCTTCAACATAATTCATTTCTAGACCCAAAAACAGTGCAACCCACAAAAACTACCTGCTCCTTGTGTTGTTTTATTCAAGGCACATCATTGTCTAACAGTTATTATGCTGATGAATTTCTGATGATTAAGAAAAGTTTATCACTCTAAGAACAGGTTTAACATTGAGATTAGCGCCATAATATACTATATTTCTAGATCCTAAAGTTTGATCTCACAATTATTTTCCAATTAAGAATGCAGGATGTCATCTTCAATCCTTCATAAGTTACACAACAAACACAGGAAACTGTTATGTCAGCTAATATATTGTATCTTCTAGGGTTGGCATTACTGGTAGGCTGGTAGCTAATGAGGAAACATGCTCCACTAATGACATCAATCATGGTGTCTTATTAAGGAGATTAACTCCCTCTGTCCGGAATTAATAGTCATGTTTACGGTGTGATTTACACAAGTGATGTGACTACACATCCAGACGCAGGTAGTAGTTTCTTAAAGAATATCATAGCAGCAATAGCATGACCAAAATCAGGCTCTTAAATCAGCAATTTGGAAGGAAGTTAAAATTTCAATTTGGAAAAAGGTCAAAGAAATCTTAGATGATGTTGTTATAAAAGATGAAAAGGTTGACATAAAAAACATCTTTAGTAAGTAATGGTAATAATGAGTTTGTGTCTACTTTTGCAAGGACAATCTCATGCTAAGGTACACGGTTTTTCTTTTTTTTTTTTTTTTTTTTTTTTTTTTTTTTTTTTTTTTTTGGGTGGGTAAGGAGAACAACCCTACTAGACCGGGACCTCTTAGAAGTAAATCAGCCTAGTTACCCAAGTTTGACTCTTGGGAATGGGAGGAAGGATAAAGGAATCGCCACCCCCAAGTAACGCAGTTGGAAGGAATCAAACCCATGACCTTGGGGTCATTCTAAGATACACAATATTAGAGTAATGCAACCCAATCTCTCAATAACGGCTCAAAGGTGCTACAATAGGGATATAGACATCAGTATGAAGGAAAACTATAGTAAACCTACACAACCTGCAGCCCATATAGTTATTTAAATCTACCAATCAAAAAATCAGTGTTTAAGAGAGTTTCCAACCCATATGGCCTATGTTCATATATACACAGTAAGAAGCACATTGGACAAGTTTTTCAAGTCCTAGACTCCTTCTATAATGCTAATAACTATCCTCAAGAAAAAAAGCGTAATGAGAGCTGCCATCTTACCTCTTACCGACACAGATAGATGAGGTAAAGAGTACCAATTTTCAATCATTCATCCTCCAGTAAGAATTGAGTTAGAAACTGACTTAAGCTCAAATTTGAAGGTTAAATTCATAAAATTTCAGTAGAGAGGATTAATCTTTCTCAGAAACTGGTGAAGTGTTTAGCATATATGTTTGGTTATGTACTAGCAATCAAGATACCGCATCAAGACTCACATAGTGGGATAAAATTTCATTAATCAGAAGACTTTTACACGTTCATTTTGAAAAAATCGGGTCTAATATACATAAAATGAGTATTCTCCAACATTCAAGTTTTTGGAGCAATTAACTTCGAATAAAGTTAAAATTTGTGCAACTCACGCAGAAACAGTATAGGGTGTCAATATGAGATGTCTAGTTTACCATAAAATCAAGCGTTGAAGACTCTGAAAGAATCAACGACGGTGTATAATCTGTCTTTCATTTTGTCCCATCTCCTTTCATTTGCTCCTGTTGTCAAGGTGTAGAACTTACCTGCAACAATAAGGAGCCACCACAAAATAGTTACATTGACATTCTTTTGGATGATAAAAATGAGAACATCTTAGACATCAGTCAAAGTAGCAGTTTACAAATACACGGCATGTACGTCTTCATACAGTATAAATGTATAATTCCATCCTGAGTGGACTGAAGGATGGGGTAGAGCTTTTTTTAGTCCATCTATCATCATTTGGATACAAATTATTGTGCCATGACACCATGTTACACACCAATCCAGACAAAAATAAACTACTGTAAACTTTGTTGAGCTCAGTAATAATGTAAAGATGTTAAAACTATCACTGAATTGTTTAAGTGAATATAGTACGATTGTACTAGACCTACTAGTACTATATTCCATAACAAAATGCAAACCATTTGAGAGTTTAATAATGACGGCCAAAACTTTGCTCATGACTTTCACGGCACACAATTTATTGCCAAACATTAGTAGACACGTGATTATTGACTAGGGATGTTAACAAACTATTCGAGCTTGGCTCGAAAATTATATGAGATTGAACAAGTTCGTGAACAGTAACAACAACAAAGACTTAGTCTCAAAATAAGTTTGTGCACAGGCTCAAACTTATTGGTAGGATTCAAGAATAATTAAATACAATTAATAAGTTTGTGAACAAGTTTGTGATGTAAAATAGAATAATTTTTAATTATTCTATTTTACATATTATAGCATCCAACTTAATACTGTAGTAAAAAAGTGTGTAGTAATGTTGAGAAACTCAAAAACAATAGCAAAAACATAGTTATGTAAAAACATAATATAAGATTTGAACTCAAGCAAAGTATATGGTAAGTTGAACATGAGAATTTAAAATCGAAAAAGCTTGAGACTCGCCTCGAGTCTAAATCATTGTGCCATGAAGCAGGTAGTTAACACCCTTATTTATGAAGATGCAATGTAAAATCACAAGTTAATACAGAGGTTTATACTTAGTGGTAGGATTCAAGAATAATTAAATACAATTGATTTAAATTCTATGAATTGTATCAAATAAAAAAAATTAAAATAAAAAGAGGTTACTTTTTCTATTTTGGCTTTCACAAAAAGAAAGTCATATTTCCTAAATTATTAAGACTAGTATAATTTGGAAAATGATTTTTTTTTTTTCTTTTTTTTCCCACCTAATGTAATAGCTTATGTTTTTGTAAATGAAAGATGATTTTATTTCATACCCTTGTTAATGCAGATTACACTTAGAGCATGGCGGGTATAATTTGGCGCTTGGGCAGTGAACTCAAATGTGTAATACGTTTTGCCTTCAACATCTTGCTGCAAGCAGATTAAATTAATAAGCATCTATGCATTTAAAACAAGTATAAGATCATTAAAAATAGTAATGTCATTTAAAATATACAATTTAAACAGCTTAAGTGTGAAGGGCAGAAGTCAGAATGAGATTCTAATAAAGAAATATGGCCCGATCAATACAAACTGTCACTCTATATTAATTGGTTAAGTCTTGGGGTGAACCTAAAACTTAGGGTCAAATCCTGTCTGCGTCAATTCACCACCCTTTATGAATTTGTGACTCCTTATAGACCCCCAATCTAACCAGAAAATAAATAAAAAGGTCACTTCCCAACCCTTGTTCAATTCACCAACAATCCTGCAAATAGAAATGCCAATTTTTTTTTTTTTTTTTGCTTTGCATTCATACCTATAACCAAAATTTAAGTATCAAATTTATTGTTTAACTGCATTCTTAAAAATTTGTTTAACTGCATTCTTAAAAATTGGTCCTTTACCTATTATTTTTTCAAATTTATTATTGTTTATTTTTGGGCATGTAAGACGGAGATCTGAGGGTGCATCGGTTCGAAGAGTGGGACCATGGAGGGGTTAAACAAGGGAGAGGGAAACCGAAAATGACTAGGTTGGAAGGATTTAGGAAGGATATGAAGTACATGGATTTGCATGAGGATGAAGCCTTGGATCGTAAAGGATGGAGGAGGAAAATTTTCGTGGATGATTACAAGGAATAATCAAATTTGGTTCATGTAGCCGACCCATTTATGGGATTAAGGCTTAGATTGATTGATTAATTGATTTTATTGTCGTTTATTTTTATGTACATAATGCGCAACAAAGCTAATACATGACCAACAATCAATTTGAATGTAATGCAAATAAGAAGGCTTGTAGAGTAGTCACACAATACATCCTTGTCCACAGGGATTACAATTCCAATTCTGACATAAATGCATACATACAACCAATTTCATCATCAATGTCCGGTTAAAATTGAGCGGGTCTATGTTAGGGTTTGGGTTTGAGTATGGCGGGTTTATGTTAGACCCAAACCATTGCCCTACCTGATACCACATACCCAGACCCATAAGGTTTAAAACAAAAGACATGTGCCCTTATTTAGATTAGGGTTCAACAGGGTGTACACTGGTAAAGAAACAACAATAAGAAATTACTCTAGAAATACGGCTAATAAAACTTAAAACACAGAAACTTGGTGTAGTTCCAAATAGACCATAATCTCATAAACACTATAATCCACTATATCGACTCGTTACAATATTTATGCAACCTTTAACTGATCCCTAGACAACAGCTGAATCACCTGAGGGGTTAGAGTCTTACAGACCATTATCATCTCACAAAAGCTCTGACTAACTAGGTGTTCTTTGTTGTTCCTGATCAGGCTTCATCACTTAGGTTGAGAGATATATTTATCCATTTATTTATCTAATACATTTTCTCATATGACAGTACTTTTCTTGATAGAGGGGTTCCTCACTCTTACAACTCATTAGTCCTCTCTTTGAAGAGAGGGCAATTACCTTAGCAATTTAAAGTCCTCTTAAAGCATTTATCCCCCTGCGTGGATATGAAAAATTGCCAAGACAATGAAACTTGTATTAGCATTGTCCATTGATCCCCAAGTTTTAGTTTGACATTGATGAGAAATAAGTATTCATCCTCACTAAAATGTGTATCCTTATTCATTATAAAATTTCTTTTACAGCTTTCTTTATAAGTGGGCCTTGCAAGTCGTGATGTAATCGAAAATGTAGGGGATACTTACCCTTTAGGTTCTAAAGGCAGTGTTTGGTGATAGAGATTTAACAAGTTTTACCATTCAAAGAATGACAAAACAATTGAGTTTCCTTTGACTCTGTAGATGTAGGGCAAGGGGTGAATCACAGCAAAGTCTCCTGTCCTTAGAGACCGAGGAATTATTTCCCCACCAAGAAATTTTTTTTTAGGGAATTCCTAAGGTGGTAATCCAATTAGCAAGATCTCTAATCCTGTAGCAAAGAAGGCTTCAAGGAAATGAATAAAGAGCATGTTTTCTCTTAGGTAGTAAAATTATTTTTGAATCGCCTTTCTTTATAGTATTCTTCCTACATTTTGTCTTCTTACAAAGTCTTTACATATGCATGAGAAACTTGAGGACCTGAGAAAAGTCCTTCACCCTAAAATTGATAAGAAGTGACAGTGTGAAATGAGTTGAGGTCTAAGCCTTTGAAACTTGGTTCCTCATTTGTTCATCAGAGAAGCAAATGCCTTAAAAATAATTTTGGCTTAATCTACTCATTAATCACAGTTTTGGTCCTTTCAGTTCTTCAATTAGCTTTTCGGGGCCTTATATTAGGAGTTGTTATTCAATGAAGAATCGGGATATAATCAAGCCATCTGAAGGTTGTGACGCACAATCATCCAGTGCCATGTGCATGGTCCCAAATGTAATATGAGGATCAGAGGACGCCAGCTAAAATTAATCTGGCAAGTTAACCGAACATTTGAAGGGAAGTTGCACACATAATGAAACCTAAGTCAAACAGAAAAAGGAATTGAATCTGGATAGAATTCCGCCAGCACAAAATTTTACTAATGAGAGATTCAGATTAATTCTGACCAAAACTAGTTGTTTATTAAGGCTTTATTTATAGGATCAAGAAAATGAAAAGGACCATTAAAAGAAGGAAGACAGGGAAAGAAACACTAATCAATCAATCAAAGCCTTAAACCCATAAGTGGGGAAAGAAACACTAATAGCCTCTAAAAAGGCTCTCTTTAGAAGAGATTTAGATCTTGGGAATTCCATTTCTCTCCTCACTCCCCACAAGGGCACGAAATCATAATCTCAAGTTGGGCAGTTAAAATCCTCTAAAATTCTCCAACCAAAAGTACATGAAAAATTGGATGTATGCACGAGATTGTAATAGCACATATTGACAGAAACAAACGAGTGTCACAAGAATATATAATTAATGAATACTTTGCGGAATTCCACCTCAAAACAGAGGCTCCAAACTTGATCCCTTCACATCCAGAAAAAATGCAATCACGCAATCATAGCAATACAATGTATATAGAATTGGAAAGGAAGAATTACTGACCTCTTTCGCTTGAACTAGCTTAGTTTTCTGGTTATTAGGGGCTAGGACCTTCTTAATCAAAGTTTCAGCTACCTGAAACAAGCAATTCACAAAGATGATCGATGATGAGTGAAGCAAAATTCCACGCATCATAAAAAAGAAAATTCAATTTTTCTCATAATCAAATTATAAGAGAACCTTGTCTGGAGGTCCAAACTCTTTTACATCCTCTTTGCTAGTTGGAACCAGATTCACACTGACACTCTCTAATGGTTCAATAACATCTTTGAAGACCTTGTCTTCACCCTCAATTGAAACTTCCTGAAAAGAATGCAACAAGGGAAGATTAATTATCATGTAATCAGAAATAAACATCGAATGACCATTCAAAAAGATCATAATTAGCTAATAATACCTGCCATCCAAATGGATACAAAAATGTATATCCATCCTTCTTATCAGTGACCGGTAGGAAACCCTTTTTAGATTCTGCAGCAACTGAACCATATCAAGGGTGTGCTCTTAGGATTTATGCCACCATTATTAAGAGATGTTGCAATTCTAGAGTTTATTCGAGTACAGAATATCACAAAGATAAAATAAACACTTAGGTTTCTTGTTGCTATTCAAGGAGTAGCAATTTAACAGCCTGCTCAAACCAAATCCGACAAAAAACATGTACAATGTGATTCAATCACCACTCACAGGAGATAGGGGTGTCTGCGAACAGCAAAATTCCAGGTATACTAGCACCAAGGGCTAGCAATTTCCTCCTTGCTACACCATCTGCAACAGAGAACAACATTGTGTTTGTCAAAAAAATTAATGGAACAGACACTTATTAACACGAAAAACAATAACGGCCATATCTTTGTACAAAAGCACTATATGCAACTTCTAAGGATACGAATGTCTTGCAGGAATTGTTGTGGCACCCTCTGGTACTCGATCTTTCATGAAGTATTGGAAAGACCTCTAGAGAAGTAAATGTCACAAATTTCCTCCACTCTTTTAAATTCGGTTCCACGTATTCAATATAGTAAAGGGTTTGTCCATCTATCTATGTGTGTAACTGAGCAAAGATCAGAAGATGGATAGAGGAAAATCAAGAATCAAGCTCACCACCAAATTTTCTTTTACAGGGTATCCATACTTTAAAATCTTCATTATAAACAAACTAAATTCACAATGCTCCATGAAAACAACAACCAAACTCCATAATTATATGAAATAAGCATCAAATATCAACACTTTGTAATTTCTATGATCTGTCATTATCATTGACCCATAATATATACTAGTAACATATATAAATCAATTAAAACAATAATGTGTAATATTGACAATTCACTCTAAATAATGTATGAACTGGGGTTAAAAAAAAATAGCAAATACTAAACCATATCCTCCTTTTCCTTATATTTCACCTCACAAAATTGCTCATAATTCTAACAACTAAAACACAAATTTGAACAAAGCATATCCTCAAATAAATTCAGAATTTTGGGTAATTTTGAAATTAACACTCACTCATAATTTTATATTAAATAAACTTGTAAAAATTACCTTGGAAAGATATTGATGAACATGAAGCAGTTGCAGCAGATGAAACTCGCTCAGCCTTCACTAAAACAGAAACCCTTTTCCCAGATGACACATAATTTACCTGAAAAACACAATTTTGGTGTTAAAATTACATAGAATTAAGGAATCATAATGTTGGGAATAAATTCCATTGAAAATTAAGTACATTTTCCTAAGAGAGAAAGGGAACCTGAGAAGAGTTAGAAGGAAGAAATGCTTGAGAAATAGAGGGTAAAATAGATTGTTGCAAAGACGCCATTGTTGAAGTAAAAGGAAGATGATGGAGATTGAATAAGGAAGGGAAAATAGCAGTTGGTTTAGAGGAATGTGATGGGGTCTGTGTCTATCAGTCTATGTCTGTCATGTGTGGTTGATGACAGACTCACCTTATCTTTATTTTATTTTCATTGTGCTTACTATTTTCAGAATAAACAATTCTCCTCTTCACACTAATTAACTTTACTAGGCCGGGGCCTTTCACAGGTAAATATTTTTTTTATAGACCTCTCGGAGTTGGTTGAAAAAATTACGAGGATAATGTAAGGAGTTAAAAATAATTAAATTTGAAATTGTTTGTTAGGGGTTTAGTTTATAAATTGAGGTAAGGCTTGTCATTTAAAACTATGTTTTAATTTAACTTTGGTTGAATTTTAGTATTCCCCGCACTCAAACACGTTGAAGGGGTATATAATTTTCAATAGAATTGGGTAAGGGTGTGAGTGGAAAAAGGAGAGGGTAAAGGAGTTTACATCATATAAGTAACAAGTGAGTAAGTTTTTTTTAGCTTAAAAATATCGTTCATGACCATCCTAATAAGGAATACAAGAAGATTATTTGTGGACAAAAAGAATAATAATCGCATTCCTATTAGTAATTGATACTAAATGGATAGATGTAAATGCCCTATGCAACTTGTTATACATTATAATGTACTCACTAACCTTAATGTTGTTTAGTACTCCCTCCGTCCTTTTATTAGAGTCTCATTTCTTTTTATTATGCACTCGGTAACCTTAATGTTTAGTACTCCGGTTACTCCCTTCGTCCTTTTAGTAATAAATGTTAGAAATAGAACTCTAATAAAAGGACGGAGAGAGTATAAAACACAAAGGGCATGTTCACTTCAGCTTAATTTTAATTCAATCAGTTCAGTTCATTTCATTTAAGCTCAAATTAGTTTAGTTTAGTTCTAGCTCCAATCAGTTCAGTTCAATTTATCTCCTAATTTTCTTCTCTCATAAAATATTCATTTCAGCTCAATTCATTTCAGTAAATATAAACAGGCCCAAAGTCATAGAGCATATTCCTTGATCCAATGGTAATGTTAAGATCATCATAACCAGCAAATAGGTCTAGCATGAATGAATAAAATTTCATTTCATATTGAAATTATTATGATATTAATTGCAATCTCCCAAAAATGCTTCATAATGCATTTGAATATTTGATATGTAGTGTGTGTTAGTTGCTTTTTCATAGCTTTTGATGAGAAGTAGCATGCTTACATGCGCAAACTTTTTGGGCCAAAGAAAGAATGCCACTTTGCGGCTACTTTATCGGGCTTAAATCCCAATGCCCATGTCCATAACGTTGCCAAGATTCTCCTCGGGATACGTTTCATTGCCCACTGTTTTTGTAATTTGCTGTTTCCCTCTTCCACATACACACTAATTTGTACGGACTGTTTTTGGCTTTCTTAATTGCTATTTTTGTAAAAATAAATTTGTCTGTAACGACATGCGATTAGAGGTGACAAACAACACGAGTACTGATTAAGACATTTCAGTTTGTTACGTATTTGAGTGATAAACTGATAACGACATGTTTGGTAATTAGAAATCTAGTTTCGAGTGTAGTTCTTTCGAGTTTGGATTGAGGCAATCATTAAATTTGTGTCTGATAAAATGGTATCATCGTTCTTTGTATAGTTACAATGATTTAAGTCTACATAAGATTTATAACTAGTTTAGATTATTCCAAAGTGCGGCATATTACTCATTTAGATTATTCGAAGCGTCACTTACGGTTTGTCAAGTTATGTTCAAGCAAGTGATTTTTCGTACAGTAGATGGTCTTTTACGCATTTGATTAGGCCAATAATAAGCTTAGGTCTATAACTCCTCTCTTTTACAGCATAATATCAGAACATGAAACTTTGCAAATTAGTCTCTGGTAAAGTATCAATGCTTTAAGGCTCATGTTTATCGTAGAATTTATGCAATATAGTACAACATATAGGCAATACAATAATATTCTTCATACAGATATAGTATTTGGGATGACACAACACTAAACAAAACAAAAAGTGTGGATAATAGCAGTAGAAATCATCCACGATCAAGTAAATGTCTACTGCCTTCGAAAGTCAGCACATCAGCAAGCTATGTATCGTTCCTGTAAGTTAGAGAACCTCCTTCCAGAATCTAATTGATCGATCAGTCCCACAAGAAACAAATGCTGCCTCTACAGGTGAGTGTTCTATCCACCGGGGTGGTCCAATATGATTTGACCGGAGTCTTGTTACCTCTGCTGCAGTTAGTGCATCCCAGACGACAATCTGTAATGCAGCAGGCTGGTTAGATGCTAGAAAAAGAGGTGTGAAGATATGAAAAAATTAATGGGATTTGAGAAGCCAAACTAACCTCATTCCTGGGTTCATCTATGGATAATATGAACTCCTCGGTGAAACTGAAAACAGCCTGCAATAATAAAATAATGGTTAAATTAACAAATCATGTGTAATGGAAGAAGCCAAGATGGAAATTCAATAAGTTGGAAAGAAATTTGGTTTGATAAGGGTTGGAAAGAAATTTCTTAGGCCGTGTTAATGACGAGACCTTTTGTGTTCATGATTCTGATTTCTGGATATTCATACATTAGTTGCTTTTGATGGGAATAATTGAATAAGTTCGATTAACTTCGTAAAATAAATGAATGTTCATGCATGCAATGATCAAGTCTTATCTCTGGTGCATGTATTACATGGCTACAAAAGGGTAACACTAGTACTATAAGAGCCCAAGCAAATGAATAAATGACTCTATCAGACTACAGCTTCTAAAATACAAATAAAGAATATTTCTTTCTGCTACCTTCCATATTCTTTGTACAGTCCACGAGGATCTTTTAGGCTACACTCAGAAGCATAAATTCTAGATGAGTATGGTTTCAAAATCAATTACTACTCTTTTAGGCATCTAGCAACTTTGGTGATTTGATGGAGAAAAATAGAAAATTACAATTCCTGATCATCTGAACTGTTAAAATGTAGCTTTTCCTGAAATCTATTGATATATGGGAGATTGTTGAGACAGGCTTTAAGCAAAAAAAAAAAAAAAAAAAAAAAAAAAAAAGAGAGCATAAAATAGGCCAACGCCAACTACCAAAAGTTAGGCAGATGAGATGAAGGGTACAGCAGTACTTTCTGCCCTTTTCACATCTTTGATGCTAGTTTGGACAAAACTTCACCAGAATTAGAGCTTTAACAGCATAAGAGGCTTAGCATTCTACAAGAGATGTTTCAAGAAGCCAACAAACTTAATAACTATATATTCACTTGAAAGATGGTGAGAATATGGACAGCTATTATGAAGTCAAGGAGCTAGTAAACCAGATGAAAACATACAGTAAGACTTTCTGATGAAAGAAAGGTCTGGAGGATTTCGGCTACCCCTTATACCAAAAAATCATATTTTAGCTCCGTGGAGGTGTGTGGATGCATAGGAAGTGGTTCAGCAAGGAGAATGAAGGTTCAACAGACGGAACCTTTCAATCGAGGAACAAAGTCAATTCGTGAAGCAGTGAAAGTGAATCAAGTAAAAGACTATAGATCAAAGGGGAAAATATTATCAATTGGTGGAAATTTCCTTCCATGTGCCACCTGTGACATAAAGTCACTAAAAGCAAGATTGCTAGTCCCAAGGGAGGCCCAAATAAATTATATGTGTTATTAAGCTACCTAATAAAGCATCAAATAAATATACTAAATTTGATCAATGAAGGTGGGCCACAGCCTGGGTAAACCCCCTTGGATCTGTCCGTGGCCCAAATGCATTATTTATGTAAGGTTTGGCCATAACAAGAACTTTAGGAGTAGGTTGCACAACTGAAAAATCAGCAAGACATTAGCAGCCAGCAAGAAATTCGTCAGATTGTATGTATGTCCAAGTTTTCATATTTATGCAGATCAAGATGCGAATTCTGGTGTCAAAAAAGGTGGTTAATAGGCAGTGGTTCAACAATTCATGTGACTCATGGGTAATAATTTTCACTAATCAGAAATTCAGGATACACTATCAAAGATTCCATTCTGCATGGAAAATGGTACGTTTGAGTCACAAGGAAAAGGAACCACTAGTGTGGAGACAGAGATGAGCACTAAATTTAACATGATCATTGCACTAAGTGCTTGTTTGGCTTAAATCAAGTAATGAGACTTCCTAGGAATTGCAGGTTAGGTGAGTCATTTGGTTGAATGTGAAATGGGGGAAGTGGGACTTCCCAGAAATTTTCACTTCACATAAAACGTAGAAATTTACTAACCTAGTACCCTACCCTCCATGTAAGTGGAAATTCCTGTGGGAGGTTACTTCCCTCCTTGCTAACCAAACAACTTTAGCAAATTCCCATAAATGTGATTTCCTTGCTAACCAAACAACTTCAGCAAATTCCCACGAGTGTGATTATGAAATATTATTCCTATAAAGTTGGAACTGTCACGAAACAACCACTTAATATGATCCTGAGAGAAAAGATATTGGGAGAGTGAAGAAGCTTTACAAAGCTGTTCCATAATAGTGGGATGTCTTTATTGCGAAGAGTAGTACAGGATATAATTTCACTCTACGCAGAATAAGATGCTACATCAACGGTGAAACAAGCTGTTTGGTTAAGGAAGATATTAGCTGATTAGGGCTAAATAAAGCTCCAGCCAGGGCAGCCACTGAAATAAAATTAAACAATACTCGGGATTGGTTTATTGTTCGACACAATACAAGCAAGCAAAAAACCATTTTTGTCAACTATATGAAGGCGAAATTTCATGCAATAGGGATGTTGAGCATAAGATGATGAGAACAAAACGAGGTTGGCTTATTGTCCGACTTATAACCAACTTACAGAAACTATTACAAAGGAACTTTCAAGGGGAAAGTTTGAACCTCAGATATAAAGTGGGAATGATGACCAATAGTCTCAAAAAGGGGTTGACAGATGAGGCCTTTTGCATTCATATATCTGGATATTCATGCATTAGTTGCATGACTTGCATCCAATTAGAATATAGTTCAAAGAAATAAAGAATTTGGTAAAATAAATTATTGAATGTCATGCATGCATTGAATAATTCTAGTCTACTCTATAGTGCATGTTTACATGGCCTCTAAA